CAATTAACTCCCTGTCCCCGCTGTTTAGTTTAAATTTCCCTCCAGAAAATCTGTGAATTTATAGCCGAGTAACTCAGTCCCTTTTTTTGATGGATGCAAACCATCTCTTTTGTACATCTTTTGATTGGACCAGCTACTGACATCGTGACTAATATATCCGAAGCATTCCCCTTTACACCACTCCTTTAGCCACATATTGAATTGTGCTATGCGCTGGCCTTTTCCGTTTTGCTCCTTATACACTGGTAAAACCTCTGAGAAAGTAAGCCTACAGCTTATTCTGCTAAGTTCCTTCCCCAAGCTCTGGAAATCATTCTGCACAGAGAGTACATCTTTTTGGGATAGATCATTAGTGCCAAGATGTACAATAGCCTCCACATCCACAGTCCTTGCTGCCATTCTTGATTATTTTAGAAATACGATTCTTGTCCCTACTGGCAGTAGCACCTGGAAGACACCTGACCTCTTTCAAAGCCTCTGTGTCCTTTCCTAAATTTACATCCCTTATAATTGAATCACCTACCAGAAGGTAGCTTCTCTTTTTGGGAGCCTTTCTATTCTTGCATGACTGATGTGCAATACCTGATTCACACTTCTCCCTGTCAAAATCTAGTTCTTCATCTCGGACCACAATCCCCTGCTTATTTGAGTTATCTTCACAAATACCTTTACCTGTCTCCTTAATGTCCCTATTAAGGTCAGCAAGGCACTGTAACTGTTGTGCAGGGACACAGCGAAAGCTTTGTGTTTATGGTTCACAGCTCTCACCCTGCCAGATCCCACGGTTGTCCACACTGCCCTTTTCCTGCAGGATCTTTGTGGTAAAGGGGGCTGATAGCAGGGAGGCTTACTAGAGTAGAGGGGCTGAACTGGACACCTAATTTCTGCCCGAAGAGCACGGATTACAGACCCTAGGTAAATGATCTGTCCTTGTAGGCTAGTGATTTGTTTACAGATTGGACAGTTTCCAAGTTTGAAAAGGGTACTGCGAAAAACAGCTGCAAAGCAGGTGTTGCACTGAACTAAGCCGGACATCTTAGATACAGGGGATGTCAGACACACTTGCCCTGAATGTACTGCTACTGTTTGTGATTTTTAGTTATCTAATTATATAATAGCACGTTCCAGCAGCCGACCGAAGTTGGAATGGGGTTTAAATAGAGTACAATACACTATAAATATAATGGAGATCCAATCAGGGCCTTGCTACTTTCCTGGTGGATTCTCCCAAAACTTACAGTTTAAGCAGCAGCTGGTGGGATGTAGCACGTTCCAGCAGCCCGACCGAAGTTGGAATGGGGTTTAAATAGAGTACAATACACTATAAATATAATGGAGATCCAATCAGGGCCTTGCTACTTTCCTGGTGGATTCTCCCAAAACTTACAGTTTAAGCAGCAGCTGGTGGGATGTAGCACGTTCCAGCAGCCCGACCGAAGTTGGAATGGGGTTTAAATAGAGTACAATACACTATAAATATAATGGAGATCCAATCAGGGCCTTGCTACTTTCCTGGTGGATTCTCCCAAAACTTACAGTTTAAGCAGCAGCTAGGTGTTGGAATGTAGAGCACGTTCCAGCAGCCCGACCAGAAGTTGTAGAATGGGGAATTTAAATAGAGTACAATACACTATAAATATAATGGAGATCCAATCAGGGCCTTGCTACTTTCCTGGTGGATTCTCCCAAAACTTACAGTTTAAGCAGCAGCTGGTGGAATGTAGCACGTTCCAGCAACCCGATCAGAGTTGGAATGGGGTTTAAATAGAGTATAATACCCTATAAATATAATGGAGATCCAATCAGGGCCTTGCTACTTTCCTGGTGGATTCTCCCAAAACTTACAGTTTAAGCAGCAGCTGGTGGAATGTAGCACGTTCCAGCAACCCGATCAGAGTTGGAATGGGGTTTAAATAGAGTATAATACCCTATAAATATAATGGAGATCCAATCAGGGCCTTGCTACTTTCCTGGTGGATTCTCCCAAAACTTACAGTTTAAGCAGCAGCTGGTGGGATGTAGCACGTTCCAGCAGCCCGACCGAAGTTGGAATGGGGTTTAAATAGAGTACAATACACTATAAATATAATGGAGATCCAATCAGGGCCTTGCTACTTTCCTGGTGGATTCTCCCAAAACTTACAGTTTAAGCAGCAGCTGGTGGGATGTAGCACGTTCCAGCAGCCCGACCGAAGTTGGAATGGGGTTTAAATAGAGTACAATACACTATAAATATAATGGAGATCCAATCAGGGCCTTGCTACTTTCCTGGTGGATTCTCCCAAAACTTACAGTTTAAGCAGCAGCTGGTGGGATGTATCACGTTCCAGCAGCCCGACCGAAGTTGGAATGGGGTTTAAATAGAGTACAATACACTATAAATATAATGGAGATCCAATCAGGGCCTTGCTACTTTCCTGGTGGATTCTCCCAAAACTTACAGTTTAAGCAGCAGCTGGTGGGAATGTAGATGTAGTTCCATTGAGGACCACACATTGAGTACGGCCGATCAGCCAGCTACGAATCCATCTGGTGGTGAGGCTGTCTAACCCACATTTTTCTATCTTATCGAGTAGTAGGTTGTGATCTACTTTATCAAATGCTTGCTGGAAACTGACTAGGAAGTAAGTCATAAAGGATGCTTACATGACACAGATGTTGCAACTATCATAAATACATACCTGTCAAGTGCCCAAATTTTGATCATGTGACAATGTGGATGCTGTGACAGTATGTTTGTAAGTCACTTTTCTTAGTGCTGTTGTAACTTCGAATGGTAGCTAAATGAATAGTTATAAGTTGATGGCTATCTGTATTTTGACTTAAATAGATTTTTATTCCTGAAGTTGGCATCTATTAATCTCCATGTCCTTATTTTCAAATTTCTCCACTTCCAACAGTGAGTTTAATATAAGACACAAAAAACACAATTAACGGTGCTGTTGAACAGTAATAATGTTGAAGTAAGCAATGGTTTCCCTATATAAAATGGTTCATATTTAAAGTAGAATGGCATTTCAATGGAAGAAAGCAAAGCATCTTACAGCAGTTTTTTCTTTCAGCTGGTTTGTGGTGCAGATATTATCTGAAAATATGCTCAGAGAATAAAACTATATTGGCTCTAGAGTAACTTAGACACAGTGGGATAGGCTAATCATGACATCTTGCATCTTTTTGAAATAAACGGATACTAATTTCAACAAACTTCATTGGTTTAAACCAATAAATGTGAGGAATTATTGTATTAAATGGGTTTTCTGTATATTAATTATAAACAGTATTTTAAAATGAAAACTACACAAAAAGGACCACATGGTTTATAAGAGGAAATATTGTATTAAGTTAAAATACTTCAGTGTAATTGGTAGCAATTTATTGAATCCATCGGTACATTTCCCTTATACAACAAAGTTTCTATAACTTAGAGGATCATGTATATGGATGACAGGCTGTTTCTGTGTGTATATCCATGGGACGTAATTGAAGCTATTATTGGCATTTCTAAATATTATCAGTGCTATCCCAATAAAGTTGCTGCTGTATTAACAAATATCTGCTTTTGGCAGGGGTCTGTTCTCCAAGCTTGTTGTTTAACTCCCTGATGTTTCATTACCAAACTACGTAACATCTTCAGCAAAGTTTTTTGAGTGAAGTTTCTTGTTCATTTACATAGGTCCAGAATGATTGATTGGTCTTGTGACTGGTTGAATTACAAGACTGGTTGAATCACAAGACTTGTGACTTTGGGACTTCTGACTGGTTGCTGTCATTGGTTGGTGATTTGGATGGTCTACTTCCTTAATGGTTCATATGCTGGTTCTATGTCAATGTGTTTGTTGATGGACCCATTGGTAGAATGACAGGTTTTATTAAACTTCTGTGCCTGATGAGTTTTGGCATGGCCAACTACTTTGGCTTTGTTTCAGTGAAACCAGTGTTGTTTGTTGTCAGTGTAACTGGCGATCAGGGACTTTGGGTCATGCCATTTGATAGCCAGCTAGTGTCTAAAACCAGAATCCATGATTTATCACAGTTTAGAATTTAGTCATTTAAATCTATTCTTGTCCCAAAATAATCAAAGCAGAAAAACCCTTAAATACTTAATGACACCAATATTGGCAGCATAAATTCTAACAGATTTCACAACTTACTATCTATTTTATTAAGCAGGTATTTTATTTTTGTTTCAAGCCTCTGAAATACCCATTTAGTTACTAGTGACTAGTTACAAGACCAATCAATATTGAAAATGTGATTCTGAAATTATATTGTATGACAGTTTTTCACCCTATATATCTTAAGTTCAAAGAGTTTTTGAATTTAAGGATCTCATTTAAAATGTGACTGAAGAGTCACATGGGAAACAGAGAGACAAGTCCCGTGTCAATGAATAATCACTGAATGGATCACAGAAAGAGTGAAAAAAGAAAATCCTATTGAATCAGTAACTCTTGCATCACACAGATGAAATAATGACGTATTGACCAGCATATACTACCATATGAACAAAACCACTTAAATTTATTATATTTAACTATTAAGTGGTGTGAAAACTTACTGATTGTAATGGACAAATTCATAGACAAATTATCACAAAGCCTCACCAAGTGATGCATATGCATACATGGACCATCTTTTAGTGACTCTAAATTTCAGTATATTTATATATCTGCACAATTTATAGCACTGATGAAAATCTCTTAACCTGAAGTAACATAAAGTTGTTTAATTTTTTTTTGTTCATAGGAGCTAAACCAAAAAAAGTTATTTAAATAATTGAGATATGTTTGGAGAAATTGTTCATAATGATTTCAGAAAAGAGTAAACCAGGACATAAAATTTAATTTACACTTTATATTCAGATTATTAGAATTTGTAAATGTTGACTTACCTGCAAAAACATGAAAGTGCATGTAAGTAACTGATGGTTAGGAAAGTGGAAAAAATATTAATGTAATGTGTGTGTTGATTATGATTTGATCTACCTTTCTGTTTACTAGGCTTTCAAAACAAAAGATGGATATATTGTGGTAGGAGCAGGAAACAATCAACAGTTTGCTACTGTTTGCAAGGTATAGTATTCAGAAAACAAAACAACTTTAAGTAAGCTATTTTTCTGACTTACTAGCAAATAGTAAATAACTACTAGGAGCTCTGGTAGTACAGTGGTTAGAATGCTGTATTGCAAGCAAACTCTGCCCAAAACCTAAAGTTCAATCCTGACAAGGCTCAAGGTTGACTCAGCCTTCAATCCTTCCAAGATCCGTAAAATGAGGATCCAGATTCTTGGGGGCAATATGCTGAATGTTAGCCAGCTTGCTGCTGGCTGCCACGGAAATGGGGGGAAGTGGGAGCGATGGGTATTTGGGGAGGGAGAAGAAGCATGTAGGAGGAATCATTGGAAATTTTTTGTGAATTGCTAGCCTGGACTTTGCTTATCTCTTTTAGCTTTGGTATGCAGAACAAAATATTATCTGGTTGATGTTTGACCTCTAGTTGCCTAGCCACAAGGGAGACAGCTAAAATGACAATAGGTCATATGTAGTTTTTAAAAGGTTACTGTAGGATGAAGAAATTATTTTCACATGAAAATCTAGTGGTGATTGTAATTGTATCAATTAGGATTAGAAGTTCACCTAGAAACCTACCTAGCTCCCAACATTTGGGGGAGAAAATGGCTGATTTCAGGTTAATAGGTTTATTCTGTCAGACTAAGTGAAATTCTTAGTTCATTACTTTTAACCTAATTTGTAATCTTATTACAAATTATGAAAGAAAAAAGTAGATTATTTAGCAATTCACCTAAATATCTAAATGACAGATTGGCTGCAGATACAAATACCATTTTTCATTTCTTCAGAAACATAGTCTTTTGTTCTGTGAAATACTTCCACTGTAGGCCAAATAAGTTGGTATTGCTTAAAACCCTTAGCAGAATAAAAACATAGTAAATCAAAATTATCAGCACAGTGGCAAATATAATTAATATTGTTATCTACAGATTTCTAGAATTATTATCTTTGACATGTATAAATGGTATTGTAAATGCAGAGTGAAATTTCATAGTAGAAATATTTGAAATAACTAAATGAATGAAATATAGATGTGATGTTAAAATAACCATACATATAAATATATTTTTAAAAATGTGGTATTATTTATTAAAATAAGTTATGTTCAATAAATCATAAACTTACATTAAAGACCAAAGCTTAGAACTTCCTCTGGCATTATGTTCCTGAATGTATTTTGTCTCATTTGATTAAGATTCTCAATTTGCCTGAAATCATTCATGACCACAAATACAAAAATAACCAGCAGCGAGTGATAAATAGGAATGAACTTATTGGAATATTGTCAGCCAGGTATGTCCTCAACATTTAATATGTTTATTTGCAAATTTATTTCTTAGGTTTATCATTCTGGACATTATGTATATATGTATCATGTGTAAATGGTTAATAACATGTAAACAATATTTAAGCTTTTTTGTAAGGTGACCAACTTTTTTACAATGAAAAGGAGGACACAAATAAATTGAAGAAAAAAATATCATAAATAAAAGAAACATTTTATTCATTGCAACAATAATACAGAATACACTATAATATGATAAATGCATAATAAAAAACATTTGTAACAATAACATTTTATATTGTAATTATGCTTACATGCCTATTAATTATTATTTAAATGAGTACTTTTCCATTGAATGAATATTTTTTGTCAATGTATCATCTTCTAACAATATATTGGAAATATCTGAACAAGAAATATCCTTCATATTGAATTTTACGGCAAGTGCTGCAGCTAGAGTATCAACATTCAATCTCGATTTCTCACTTTTCCAAAAACCATTAGCAATTGAAAAAATCCTTTCAACTGCTGCATTAGTTCCAGGACAGCACAACGTAAATTGAACAAGAATAAATAAATTTTCACATGGAATATGTTCATTTTTGAAATGGCTGAATATTTCCACCCATCTTTTATCAATTTCAATGTGTTTATTTTCCCATTGTATTAATTTTTCAGAATTTAAAAATACATCCAGTCTTCTAATTTCTTCAAAGAGACAATTGTCGTCTATTTTAATGTCTAACATTTGTTTAGATAAGAACTTAACACAAGATTCAATATCTGTCCAATATACTTGTGATGAAGTCAAAAAACACCATTGAAAACTGTTATTTCCTGTGATGTTTGTTTCAGACCATTCTTTGATATATTGAAAACTTGTTTGGTAAAAATTCTGCACTTTTTTGATAAACTTTTCCATTATGCCTGGATTTGACTCCTCTAAGTCTGACAATTTTCTTTTTATAACTAAAGGAAGATTTTTTTCTTCAGATTGAGTTTTATATTGAAGGATAAAGTCATTCAAAGACTAACTTCTATAACTGAAATGTTTTGTGAAAAATAGATCCTTGATTATGTACAAAACACATTAATATCTCAGATATTTCATTATTGAAAAACGATTCCAGGATTTTAGGACATTTGTCTAAACTTAAAAAATATGAACGGAGAGGCTCAAATAATTGTAGAACACGCTCTGTAGCAGATGTTAGAGCAAGCCATCTAACTTTTGAATATCCTAAAGGTTTTTTCTATTGAACATTCGCTTCTTCACAAAATTGTTTTAAAGTAGCCACACGATCCCCTTTATGGATTACTGCCTTGTCGTGGCGAAGGGGCTTGCTTAACTCAGTGAAGCTATAAGCTATGCCGTGCAGGGCCACCCAAGACAGACAGGTTATAGCAGAGAGTTCTGACAAAATGTGATCCACTGGAGAAGGAAATGGCAAACCACTCCAGTATCTTTGCCATGAAAACCCCATGGACAGTACTGGGCTCAAAGATCACCTCAGATGGGGACTGCAGCCAAGAAATTAAAAGACGCTTGCTCCTGGGGAGGAAAGCTATGGCAAATCTAGACAGCATTCTAACAAGCAGAGACATCACCCTGCCAACAAAAGTACGCATAGTCCAGGCCATGGTTTTCCCAGTTGCAATGTATGGCTGTGAAAGTTGGACCATAAGAAAGGCTGAGCGCAAAAGAATTGAGGCCTTTGAACTCTGGTGCTGGAGAAGACTCCGGCGAGTCCCTTGGACTGCAAGGCGTTCAAACCGGTCAGTCCTAGAAGAGATCAACCCCGACTGCTCTTTAGAAGGCCAGATCCTGAAGTTGAAACTCAAGTACTTTGGCCACCTAATGAGAAGGAAGGACTCACTGGAAAAGGGCCTAATGCTGGGAAAGATTGAGGGCAATAGAAGAGGGGGACGACAGAGAATGAGATGACTGGATGGAGTCACTGAAGCAGTAGGTATGAATTTAAATGGACGTTGTCCATGGGGTCGCGATGGGTCGGACACGACTTCGCAATTAACAACAACAACAGCCACACGAACGGTAAAACAATTAAAATACAAATAAATTTTAGTTATTATTACTTCTACATCAATTGGCATGGCACATGACACCGTGTTGATTGCATTTGACAAAATATGTGCATTACAACCTATTCCTAGTATTTTCTTTTGGAGTAAATCTTGTAATTTTACATACATATTATTCACCCCTTTGCGTCTTCGCCCAGCAAAATTTGTGTTTGTATTATCAGCTGTTAGTGCAACAACTTTGGATTTCAAATTGTTTTCATTTATTACTCTGTATAGATGGTTTGACAAAATTTCAGCAGTTTCGCCCTCAATGGATTCTAAATTTAAAATTTTTACTTGAATGCCCTTGGTAACATTAAAATATCTTACTAGTATTGGATACAATTTAGTTTCATTATGATTGGATGCATCAGATAAAATCATTACAAATGCTGCAGTTTCCAAGTCTTCTGTAAGTATTTTGTCACAGTAATTTTTAAATACTGATTTAATAATAGCCTCACATTTTGTCCTGGTGCATAAAAATTTAGCATCGTGAAACTTTTTCAATAATTTAGTTGTACAATCCATACTATGAAAACTTTGATTGTGAATTATGGTATGGTATGGAATGCAAATGTTCCCTCCATTGCATCTAACTGTTTTTCATCTTCAGAATACTTTGAAGTTTTAAAAAAACTTGTTACTTTACAACTGGAAGCAGATGCATCTGATGATTGCTTATGTTTCTTGATGGTCAGGTGTTTCGTAATAGCTGCTCTGCCCCCAACTGCAATACAAAATTCTCCATTGCAAATATTGCAGAAAACAATGTTATCCTTCTTTGATGTGATGAATGGAAATTCCTTATTCAATTTATCGTTGAAACGGCATTTCCTCTTTTTTGATTTTTCCATCCCTAAATGGAAGTTAGTCTCCTCCAGGTATCTTCGGGACTAACTAGGAGATGGTGTAGTTGGGTAGCAGGGAGGGGTGCAAAGTTCCTGCCAATTCGCTTTCGCTGCAGACAACTTGCATGTGCAAAGTTTGCCGGCCAGGTGTTTTGGCGCACTCAGCAGCAATTCCTATTGGCTTTCGAAAGCCAATAGGGGGAATAGCACTGTTCATGCAAAAGTTGAAAAAAAAACCATCAAAAAAGGTGCCGGAACGCCATTCTGAGCATTCTATGAGAAAAAAAAGACCTGCAGATTAGTCTTCAAATATCGAAAAGGAGGACATGTAGGAGGACACTTTTCGAGGAAGGACAGAACTTACAAAAGGAGAACTGTCCTCCCTAAAGGAGGATGGTTGGTCATCTTATTTTTTGATATGGCTAGCATTAATGGCAGGGAAATGTGTGCTAATAAAACTGTCAGACACGAAAGATTTCTTCAAAGAAATGTTACTGAATTAATCTTCTCTTGAGCAAGTTTGCATATAAGACATAATAGAACAAAATTATTAACAATAGTAAAAGGAAAAAAGGAAAGAACACCAACAACAAACAAACAACAAATATTGGAGTATGCATCCATGCGTGCATGCATGCAGAAACACACAGACAATATAGTCTAAAGAAAATGTATGAATTATATAATTTTATTAAAAAATGGATAACTGGAGATATTAGGTGAGTAAATGCTTGGTTAAAATGGCTAAGAAATAAAAATATAAATAAAACAGCTTAATTATAAGTTTCAGTTTGGTACTAATTTAATTTTTAGCCAGTACTTTCATCTAGTTAAAATACATGAATCTAAAGGAAAAAGTAATTCAGCCTTGAATTTTTTTCACAATCATATATCTGACAGATAACTTTAAAAAATCTATTAATTTCTGATTTCTTCAATTTGTGAAGTATGAGTAGTAACCAGTAATTGAATATTCCAATGGTGCTTTTCTCCAACAGCTTCTGGATTTCCTTGATTTTTCTTGAAAACATTTTGCCTCATTCAAGAAGCTTTTTCAGTTCAATTTGCCAATTAATTTTTACAAGACCATATGATTTTTTGATCTAAACCAGCAGTGATAAAACCAAAAGTGCTAAGTGAAACATTTGTTAAGTAAATTTTGCCCCATTTTATGATCTTTCTTGCCATAGTTGTTAAGTGAATCACTGCTGTTGTTAAGTTAGTAACACAGTTGTTAAGTAAATCTGGCTTTCACATTGACTTTGTTTATAAGAAGGTCGCAAAAGGTGATCACATGACCCCGGGACACTGCAGCAATCATAAATATAAGTCAGTTACCAAGCATCTGATCACATGATCATCGGGATGCTGCAGCAGTGATAAGTGAAAAATGACTGTGAAAAACAGTGTCGTCATAACTTTGAACGGTCAATAAATGAACTGTTGTAAGTGGAGGACTACCTGTATATATCTGTGTATTTTGAAATAGTCAAGAACTGTTTTTCAGATATTCCATGGAAGTCCAGGATTTTATATTCATCTGAATGCTATCAGTCATCCCATTTAGAAATTAGTAAAGTTTGAACATCTCAAGCTTCATTCAGTGTAATTGCCAAAAAGCAACAATTCTGGCTTTTCACGAGGTGCAAACTGATTGTAAAATATTAATCTTATAGACATACTATAAGATAATATATTCCTTTAAATTCAGTAACGTTAACATGTAGGATTGCAGTCATAATATTCTTTCATGTTTGTTTTTATTCAGAACAGTGCATGAATTACTGCTACCAATAACTCTATCTCCCAAGGATAAAGTCACAAAAAAAAAAAAAACCCACAGGATATCTCTATCTAACAATGTGAATATGATAATAAAGTGTAATTATATAAGTGGTTCTGAGAAGGCAATCCAATAAAAGAGTGGAATTTTGGTTCAAGCAGGATAAGGCTAATGTATCTGATTTGCAACCGGATGACCTTGGGACAAATATTACAGTCATACAACATGTAAACACGTAATCAATATTGTCATCTGACCAACAATTGTGGTTCTTAATTGGGACATGTGTTTCAGATGTAGCAGAGGAAAACACTTTGTGAGGCTTTGAATTGGAGCATTGTATTTAAAAATAGAACAGTTTTTCATATATGTGGCTCTTAACCACATCACATCTATCTCGTTGTTGTTGTGAAAAACTAAAAACATGAAATAAAAATGTGAAGCTCATTACCGCAATTAAGATTGGGAGGAAATATACTGACTTCTATTTGAAACTTCTGATAATTTTGGTTTGTATCACTGCTGGCTTGCATCAGAAAATCAGATAGGATTGGAAGTCAGTCTAACCATTATTTTTGCCTCCAGGCTTGGTTTTCTCCATTTCTGAGGAACATGTGCAGAACATTTTTATTGCATTATTGACTGCTGTTAATAGCTATTTTTTAAAATGCATTTTTACTCTTTTTTTCCCTCCTGTTTATTCTTAGGTTCTTGGAAGAAGAAACCTCTAAATGGCTAGACGATTTTGAAGGCAGTGGAGTTCCATATGGTCCAATCAACAATATGAAGCAGGTGTTCTCAGATCCTCAGGTCAGTTATCTTTTACATGCTGTATGTTTTTTAAAGTATTCAATTACTATTACTAGTACTATTCATTAAGTAATGTTTCATATATATTACATCTTTTCTCTGAGAATTCAGAGCAGCTTACCTTTATTCCCTCATCAAGATAAGTTGGGCTGAGAGCAAATGAACTACTCTAAAATTGCCAAATAATCTTTGTAGCTGACTTCCCCAGATTAAATCTAACACCATTTTTAAAATAACTTTTTATAAGCATTGTGAAAGTCACTTTAAAAAATGCAAATTCATGTATTTGGTATCATAGGATAGTTGATAGCGTCCTAAAACACATTCTGATGACTTGACATTCAGATCTTTGCATTATAAACATTAGGTTGTTGGATCTTGTTCAAGTGTGGACTTAAGCCATTTTAAATCCAATAATATAATCCATCGTCATTGTTGTCAGCCATTCAGTTGTGTCCAACTCTTGGCCGCTCAATGGATCAGCATTTTCCATGCCCCTCTATCTCACACCATCTCCTTCAGATCTAATCCAACCCAAAGTGTTCAAATTTGCTGATTGTAACTGCTATGCTAATAATGTTAAACGTGTAAAATGTAATTACTTTCACGGTTAACTCTTATTTGAAAAGCTTACATTTAAATAGATTAATGTATTTATAATGGACAAAAGGAAGATTTTATCCCTGGATATCTCACAAATGGAAGTGATGAAACAGATTCTCTTTAATACTTTCATTTTACCTAAAATTGTATTAATAACTATACTTTCATACTTTTAAAAATTCAGCTTATTTTCTAGAGGAGTCTTATTTGATGCTAATGCTAATTTTTAAATTGTGACAAAAGGCTGCATCTTTAGAGATTATTCCATCCCTCATTGTTAACATGGTTACATTAATAAGGCACTGATTCAGTATTTTCTCTTTTATATCTTATATGAGAAGTAATTATTACTATTAAGAACACCCCAGAAAACCTGTTAGATGTGTTGTTCTAAAACCAGATATTTTGGTAACCATGTTGTTCTCAAATTACCCAGATCTTAGCAGCACATTGCTTCTTAGTGTGAATATTTTATGACAACATACCAGCTACAGTAAACAGTGAGAACTAAAGCAAAAAATAGAAGTACCTTTAAAACTAAATAAAAACGTCTTTTTCTATATTCAGAACACAACAAAAAATGCATAATGGAAAAAGCTAATCAGAAATGGAATTGTTTTGGAATAAGAATCCCACAGCCAATAAAAAGAAGATAATAATCATTAAAGAGAAAAAAGTTTATTAGCTAACATATTTTAAAACCTGCCCCACAAGATAAAAATTGCAGTGTTTGTAATTTCAAAGACAAGAATAATATGACATTTTTCTTTTATTGGCTACAGGTATGTTATTTCCTTATATGGCAAAGTATTACTTTGTTGTAACACTTCCCAAATAGTCATTAAGAAGGTGAATTGCTGTTATAAAAATGCTGACTTATCATTTTATCCAATTTTGAAGACCCTGGCTATGTGTACTGAATTTGCAGCAGTTGTTTTCCTGTATGTAACTTGCTTGTCTGGAGATAATGGTGAGGGGCTTTTATTGGTTACAATTTATTTCTATAGAAATAGAATAGTATTGGTAGACACTGTATTGCCATTTATGGGAAGAGACAGGGCAGTGAGAATACTGCCTTCATCAATAAGAAAGTCAATTTTTTACACATTATAATTTCCCAGATATTTAAGCTTCAGATTTTGAATACTGATATGCAGATGATTTTACAAGTGTTTATATCTACAGTTATGCTAAGCAATGATTAATTATGTATGCAACAGGCTGAAAAAGTAAATGTTGGTAACTTTGTGAAAGGTGAAATTCAAAAATTAGACAGATAGTAAAGATAGCTTTTTTCAGAATTTCTCCAATTGTAAATGATAAATACTTTCTATACTGACTTTACTTAATTATTATTCATTCAACTTCTAAATTTGTGTTAAGGGCCTTGAATGCCTTCAGTCTATACTCTCACCTCCATTTCACCACTTGATGCTCTTCATCATCAGGCCTTTTACCTAGCCTAACATTTACCATGGTTCGTCATAGGGTTAAGGCAGTGGTGGGATTCAAATATGTGAACAACCGGTTCTCTGTGTGGATGCTGCTTCCGGAAGTCTTTTCTGGGCCTGGGCAACAAAAAATTAGCTACCGGTTCTGCCGAAGTGGTGCAAACCGGCTGAATCCCACCACTGGGTTAAGGCTGCATCTGTTCACTGAGAAAAGAAAACATTTGCCTACCAGATTGTCCAAATAAAATAGCCACATTTGTTATAATTTGAAATAAAATTGTCTCTTTATATTAGATTACACAAACATATACACTTATTTCTTCCCAGTGGGAAAACTATCCTACTGCACTTTATAACATGAAATACAATAAAATTAAATTAAAAATCCACCAATCAGCACAGTTGTTGTTTAAGTAGTTAGGAAATCCAAGTTACTAACAATGGAGGCTTTCTGAGATGCAACTGTTTTAGAAGCTGGAAAAGACAGGAACAAATTTTTCTACCATGTCAGAGAGTGATAATACTGTATTGGTTATTACTACTGTATTGGTTATTACCTGGTATAAGTAGCCATCTACTATAACCACATCAGACAGCAGGGGAGAGACAAATGCTTTAGTCACGGTATTTACACAAATAGGTATTCTGTGAGTTGTGTTTAACTATGTTTAACTATGTTTTAGTAAAAAAGAAGTAAAATTTAGTACAGTGTGCTTTTTTGCAATACCTTTTTTTTAAATTGACATATAGAAATTTCTATACATTGCTTTAAAAATAGTCTGACTTTCAAATGAATGTAGGGATTCAAAATGAACTTACCACATTTTAATGGCAAATTTGATTAAATAGAAAGTAATAACATTTACATATTTAAAGTATTTGAAATGAAAAATGAATGGATCAGGAACATATGCAAAATGTATTTCTTGATTAAATTGCATACAGTTAACCGACATAGTGTATCTGCATATATTTGATTTTAAGTATAAGGCATGATTTCCTAACCCATTTTTTATTTCACTGATTAAAAGAGAAGTCTCCTTTGAGTTGCACTTACTTCTTAATAGTCATATTGTCACTGGATTTTATTTTGGAAGAGATTTGGGAAATAGTTTCAAGACTAAAATGACATTTACTAGTTTCTAGTTCAGTTTTAAGTTACTAGGCCTCTTCCCTGAGACTCCTGAAATGTTTGCCTATCATAAATAGGATACTTAAATCCAAGAACAATGTTTTGTTTCTTCTGTTTTAAATTTTCTTTTCTTTTGAAGCTTGGAGATAAGCAAAAATCTCACTGTTTATTTTTTAAAAAGCATTATTTTCTGCGGTATTATCTTGTGAATGTGTCAGAGATGGACAAGAATCTAGTGAGAGAATAAAAAAGGACATAATGTTACTTATATCTTTATAACATTACTTCTTACCTGTTGAAGTTTTACAGGGAAAAAGGACTTTGTAGTAGTGAAAATGTCAGCTATAAATTGTGCTTGTGTACTATATATACAAGGGATATTTAAAAACTAGAAAAAAAAAATTAACCAGAGAATCGGCTCTGATTATACTTGTACATGAAAGCAAAAAAGAATAGAAAATGAATCCAGATATCAGTTCATTATCAGAGTTCGGATGGTGAACCCAGTGAGATGATACAATCTGTAATGCAAAACTTTATTGACCAAATCATTTTGGCACAGATGAAAGGAAAACCAGTTCAGGTTATTTCGCGCCTAAATTGCTATATGAAAATTATTGAAACCTCCCTCCTCTCATTAATCCAGGCTACATTATCCAATTATAAGTCAGAGAATTATTATGAGAGGGGCGTTGTCTTACCTGAATGCCTTTTCTCAGCATGATGATGGAGAATCCACAGATGGGTTGTCTTAATCTATCTGCTCCAATTAAGACTCCACTAAGTCTGAATCTTAGTACTGCCCCCGCTGTGCCAATTGCACCCCAGTTTTAGGCTAAAGCGATACTCAGACTTTAGTCCGACGCGTCTGATCAATATCGGAACCAGGCCAACTGACCTTATGGGAGGGAGTGGATTCTCCATTATCATGCTGAGAAAAGGCGTTCAGGTAAGACAACGTCCCTCTCTCCAGCATGATTGGATGGAGAACCCACGGATGGGACATACCAAAGCCCTGTGTCCCTAAGGGTGGGAATTAGTTTGGGCCTGGGTCCCGTCCGATGTTAATGCGTGTTCTAGTACCTTGCGGCCAAATGAAGCCGTAGAAGAGGCATATTTGTCCATCTTGTAGTGACGGACAAAGGAACAGGGCGAGGCCCATGTTGCTGCTCTACAAATCTCCTCTATGGAGGCCTGGGTAGCCCAAGCAGCTGTAGTAGCCACGCCTCGGGTGGAATGGGCCGTGATATGTCTAGGAGCTTGCAGTGACTGAGTCTGGTATGCCAGAGAAATACAAGCTCTAATCCATCTGCCTGTTGTGGATGAAGAAACCTTCTGTCCTAGTGACGAAGGGTGAAAGGACACAAATAGAGCTTCAGTTTTGCGGAAAGATGAGGTTCTCTGTATATAACAATGTAAGGCCCTGCGCACATCCAACTTGTTCCACTGTACTTCTATGTCATTAGATGGGTTAGGACAGAAGTCTGGCAAAACTATTTCCTGTGACCTATGATACAAGGAATTAACCTTGGGCACGGAGGGGTCTAGCCTAAGGGTTACCCTGTCATTATGGAAAGTACACAGGTCCTTTCTCACTGAAAGAGCAGCCAACTCAGAAACTCTTCTGGCTGAAGTTACAGCAACAAGAAATGCCACTTTCATCGATAATTGTTTAAACAAACAAGTGTCAATAGGCTCAAAAGGTGAAGAAACAAGAGCCTGTAAAACCTGATGAAGATCCCACGAGGGGTATCTGTGTACGGTTGGTGGTCTGGCGTTGTTAGCTCCCTTTAGGAAGGAGCGTATCATGGGGT